TTGTTACGCCTCCAGTCGTTAGTTAATTTTCGGTAAATTCGTTCCGACGAAACTTTAGCGACACAAGTCCTTTCTTAAATAAAACTGGTTTATTCTTTCCGAATAGAACTTTACGATACACTTAATATCAGCAGTCGCTCTATAACAAACGTTATAACTCACGTCTCACGAGTTCGACAATACTCCGTTCAATTACACACTCTCTGACTGCAGTTCAATTACTCATTACCTACACATTGTCCCGTCACGTTGTGACCATCTTATATATACCAGACTACCCCCAATCTAGTAACCGCTCGATAATTCACGAAGGTTCGAGAGAAGGGGTGGCGTGATACTAGTCACGTGACCTCGCTGACGCAACAGTATGTTAAGGACCAGAGTTAGCTTATTCTGTAAATAACAATTTCAGCTGTACATCTATGTGTTTAATCCATGTATTATTTGTAACAACTGTGACCAAATCCACAGAGGAGAAACCGGTCGTATATGCTCGCTGAACGCACACGAGAACACTTACGTAGCATTTCAATAATCAAGAAAAGCCTGTAGTTCAACACTTCAACAAAGGCGATCATTCCATTGAGCGTTTTAAATTACTTGCCCAAAGACATGCTCCCTTCAACACCAAAGAAAGAACCATCATTAAAATGAAATAATTTTCAAATTAGGTTGTATAAGTCCTTTCGGTATTAACGAATACTTTCCCTTCTTCTTTTTTCCCCCTTTCTTAAAATAACTTTCAATATTTCATTACTGTTTTGAAAATTCTTTAAGTTCTTTCTTTCAATACTTTTAAAAATTATTCTTATTAACTGTTTTTATATCTTTATATCGTTTTTTTAGAACTCTTTAATCTTAATCAGTATCTCGTCACTATTTTCTCCAACTTTCTTATATTGCTATTACATTTCTTGTTCATCGGGATCCGCTTTATGTTTTGGACCTGGGAGGGTCAGATTCAGCGTTCACGTCTTCCTTCATCTCAGGAATTGTTATTTTGTTTTTTGGTGGCACCTTTTTTTACGAACTATGTTTTTGATTAGATTTGCTATTAACGACAGGCTTGTTTCTGGTTTGAAAAAGACCATTTGCTCGAAACGTCGCCTCCAACGATAAAAAGTAAAAGTAAACCTAAAATTTTTTAATGTGATTTATTTCCCACAGTCTTTTTATATTTTTTTATTTTAGCCGCTTCGCATTTTTTCTTCATTACCTATTGTGTAACTGTCACTAAAACGTCACCGAGGTTTCTTGAGCAAACGTGCACTACACTTTGTCCCGTATGACCTAGTATAGTAATCTATATCACTTAGCTCATACTGCACTGGTGTACATTAAATAGGAAGCCACGTGACAAGCTGGTGGACGATAAGAGGTGTGTTAAGGAGTTGGGCGTCAAATCGTAATAGCAGAAAAAATCTGAAACACGTAGTTACATATATTAAGGATGTGTGAGAAAACTTTTATCATGAAATAGTTTGAAACGTGTTTTCATTTCAGTAAACTTTAGTAATATTTACAATACTGAACTAATACATAATAATAAATAAACATGAACGTATGAGAAAGTAGATTTTTAAACGAGAATAACCTTTGTGATTTGGGTTTATATTGCACGTTGAATAAACTCCAGTGGGCGTGTTATTTCAGAAACTATTAAGTAATTTGCTCTTTTTTTCACCAGAGGTGAAATCGAAAAGAAAATCTGTGACGTAGAGGCCTAATGCCTCTGAGCCCCATAGATAACATAAAAGAAGTATTCAAGTTTTAATGAATAAGAATATTGCTGTATATATATATATATATAGATAGATAGACAGATAGATAGATAGTTTCTATACAAAAATACCCCGTTTTCTTTCCACCTTTAGGAGAGAAGTCACATGCACTACCACAGGCTGTATAGTACTTGGTACGAAGTCCACAAATAAACCAGATGGCCTTGAAACATGATACTACTCCTTTAGGATTCTCTCGGGTGGAAAGTTAGTTATATTTTCACAGTGTTGACTGGTCGCCATAAAGTTAGCGCTCCAAACTTTACCCTAATGGATGCTATATCGAGACCATACCCATATCTTCGAAGTTTTTCTGTAAACCTAACTGAATGGCCAGCTACTACCTTTTTACTGGGTGTATTTATTTCTTTGGCGTTCATTAAAATTTTGGCGATTTTGATACGAAGACAAAAGCTGGCGAGGTTCATTAACAAGATACCTGGAATAACCCCAATCAACCCATTTTTAGGAAATGTTGCGATAATCAGTCAAATTTTTGATTCAACGGACAAGATCCGAGTGAGTAAGTATATTTCATTAACATGGTTCCAATCAGCATTGGTTAGATGAGAATAAACTCAAAACAAAAGACAAATCATACAGTGTAAGGTTCATGCAATTCTTAGTCTTAGAAGCCAACGTTTCAGTCCAACTATATACCTGTATATACACATTGAAGGTAAACCGATTATTTTGTGTCCTTTACGACAAGTTGGTTACATAATATGTCTACTCTAATTCTAATGTTAGTGGACAATACATAATAAAATAATATCTTCCTGTTTTAAAACATGAAATGAAATGTCAAAATACATCATGTACATCGTATTGTTGCGTCAGCGGAGGTCAGGTGAATAGTATCACGCCACGTCCTTCTCGAACATTCATGTCCCTTCATTAAATCTCGGGATCCTTCTAGATATAGTGTAGTCTTGTATATATAAACCAGTAAGAACTGAGGCGAGGAAGTTATTGAGTTATTAAACTGTGGACAGAAAGAATATTGTTGGGCACGTGAGACGTTCATTGTGAGTTATAGCGTTTGTTATACCGCAACTGTTGAAATTAAGTGCATCGCAAAGTTGTATTCAGAAAGAATAAACCAGTTTTATTTAAGAAAGGACTTGTATCGGTAAAGTTTCTTCGGGAAGAAATCATACGGAAAATTAACTAACGAACGGTGGCGTAACAGTATTCATGCATGATATATCGTAACCAATAATTTGAATGGTCGGTTTTTCGCTTATGAATTCGATATGGCGGTTTTTCGGCGAGTGAAATATTTGGAATCCTTGTCGATCCCTACTATAAAGTACTGCGTTACTTAAAACAGATCGAAAGAAAACTAAATGGATTTACAATTAAGCCTTTACCATCACGAAATTTCACGAAAAAACAAAACAGTTTAATTAATTTCTGAATTTAATTAATTACATTAGTAATTAAACTTTTCGTTGTATGTAATAATGAATATAACTTTTTAGCATAAATAACGTTAACGAATCCTTATGACATTATTAATTCATATTGAATATATAAACTTTGTAAAAATATTCAAAAGTGTTTGAAAAAATATTGCTTGTTTTAAGCAACTAATTCAGCACTTTAATATCGTCCTCTGATTATTCGGAAGTAAGCTTAAGGGCTTATATTGCTAAAATTTGGTGTTTGATCCCCATGGCAGACGAAGCACAGATAACGCATTGTTATATTTTGCGTCAAACAAATGACCGAATACTTCACTGTCATATTTTTGGTATTATTTATACTATGCTATCACATAATGGAATAATTAAATTTCTTAAATGACTTGAAAATTCCTCAGCAACTGTTTTAATAGAAAAATGTAATATTAAACTAGTCAAGTGCGTAATATTATTCTTGTTACAACCTAAATCATCAAGTGTTTACTTTGATGTTTATCACATTGAAAACGTGACTGTTTATAGCTATATATATATATATAAATAATACGAAAAAGTCTCCTCACGTGGATGAGTATAATAAATAGATAAATTGACGATTTTTCTCAAATTACAGCGATGTTATAATCTCAGTCATCGTTAAAATTGATTATACTTGACCTTAACATTGCCGAAACTACTGTTTTTTTTGTGATAAAATTCACAATTGTGATATTTCTGTTGCAGTAACTTAATAAAAGCCTTATACTTCTATTTAAACTTAACTTTTAAGAAAATTACAAACTTAGATTTACTTTGGATAGAATAAATACATTACCAATACCTATGCACAACTAAACGATGTAGAATTTTAATACTTAAGTCGATGGCCACGTATGGTTGTCTCTGTTCTTCCATTGGTTTGTTGGAGCAATACTCAGCCGATTCATCCTTTCGTTGCCTTCCGTAATGTTTGGATGTTAACGCAACAGGTCTGTCAATCTATCATTTTTGTTTTTATTAGTTTTATTACAAGGTTAAAAGATCACCGTTTGACTCTCCAGACTGAAGAACATTCGCCTGCCTAAAATTGCCAACATTGGCGGAGACTTCGTGGCTAAGTTTTACACAGCAGTTCATACAGTTATGATTATTAGTTTTAATTACAATTCACATGCTTAGGACAAAATATAAGTTATTTTTCTGTTTAACAGTTAATTATTTTTTTGGAGCTAAAAGGTACTCTTTGCAACCTTAATCCCAATCAGTTTGAGGTCGGCTGGTAATTTTGTAAGCCAACAAGTTTTACACCTGTGTGGCTGGATCAATCGACAACCATATAGGAGGAGCATGTTCGGTGACGGGGGAGTCGAACGCTCTAACCACCAAGCTATGCTAAGTCCACTAAAAGGAATTAATAGTTTAAAAATAAATTAATCCTGTGACAACCCCAATTTTTCTCAAGCCATATTGTATCAGCATCTTTGTTGTTTCGTGCTTATTTGTAAGTGAATAAATATATATCGCTTGTGTCCCAATATAATGACCATATTTTCATTGTTTCTGTCTTAAATAATGCTCATGCTAGGACCTTGAATATTGACTTACTGAAACTTGTTGTTGATGTTCTTAGTGGTAGTACGATGAATACAACATTATATTTGTACTGTTTTAAGAGTTAATTATCATTTGTAAGCATAGTATTATATTGTGTTTGTCTTTGTGTCTGTAAAGTAGCAAACAACCTTCTTGCTTGTCTTTAGAAAATCCTATGCAAAGTGCTGTGATTATGCCCCAACATCAAAGACTCTAGCTTAGGACAATGAAGCCCACTGGTCAATTTTAGTGTTTCCCTACATTACATCAAGCAAAACAAGGGCTGATAACTGTATAGACCAAAAGTAAATTCAAAAATTGATGGATCTAACTTAATCCAGTCTGACTAAGGCTTTATGCTAAGAAATAGAAGACATCTTTGATAATTTAAGACTCTAAAAAAGATACTTACAGCGTGCATATAAAGAACTGGATGTGGTCTCGTTCTATCAGTTAATAATAAGGGAAAGAGACAATGACAATGGCCAAAATAAGAGTTGGTGAAAATATGGAGAAGATAATATGCTGATAGAATGTGGAAAGTGTTTTTATATTTATAGTAAAACTACTAAGGCTGTCAGCAGTTGCAAAACTATTGCTGCTAGCTCTCAAACACATTATTTAATCTCACGTTTAAGATTATTGCCGACTCATGGTGCATCCAGATTCAACACAAATAATATCCGGATGTTGGAGAATACAGATACATAACTTATGAATAAAAGAGCCTACTATGTACATGGCATGTATCGTTCTCATCAAAACCAGTGGTAAAACACTGATAGATCCTGCTCTTTGTCTTAGTCATTACCAACCATCCACTGTTGCAGCCCATGGAGTTTAATCTTATTGGCAAATAGAAAATAACTAAAGGTGAAAGAAAAAATCAATTCAGATTATAGCTTGGAGCAGCTATGTCACAATAAAGATGTGGTGAAACTTAGGATTGGATCTGCTGCAGGGCAATAGGATTAATAACTGGTGGTATACGTATATGATGAAACCTATACACATCAATGAGCCTTAACAAGGACAAGTATATACTTGATTTTCAGTTTCTTAGATTTGCTATACGTGAATTATCATTGTCAGAAAATTCTTTAAAACTGACTATGACTAACATAAGTTCATCACAAAAATATTCAAATCAACTGACTACTTTAACCAATGTGTACTATCTAATAACTGGTAGCCATGGCTAAAGCAGTGGTATCGGTGTATCTGACTACTTTAACCAATGTGTA